AGGTTTCCGCTCCATCAATTCCTTCCTTGTTCTTTTGTTTCACTAAATACCACAAAAGAGGAAGTTGAAACTGATCTTTCACTCTCTGTGGCGTAAAGGATTTGCATCACAAAGCTTTGGCGACATCACTTTCTTAAATACAGTTAATTTTGGAGGGAGTCACGGACTTTTGGTTGTTAAAAAACACAACTGTCGCCTATATCTCAATCCTCCTCCGCTGACGCATCAAACGGACAAGTTCCTGCTGCTGCATCTTTATTCAGTTTCTCACCAAGTGCTCGTGTTTCTATTTTTTACGTGTATCCAGGGCTCAGAACACCTTAACACACCAAAGCAAAATTAAAAGCTTGAATTCTAAGAAGCAGCTGGACTTCAGAGAACCATTTCGTCGAACGTTGATTATTCCGACTCAGCCACAGGTTCAGTGTACTTCTGCTTCCTGCTCCTTGATTGGACGTGCAGTTTCCTCCCACGTGGAGACGTCCCACTGGCCGCTCCGAATGACTCCCTGCGCTGGATTGATGGAGGCTGCTGATGCCTCGTCCTTCCGTTTTAAGATTTATACCTCCGCTCCGCTGCCCATCAATCACCGGGGCGTTGCTCAGCGGACTCGGAGCTCCAGCACAAAGCTGAGCGGTGAGGTTCATAATGGAAGCTGTGGGTCTCCTGATGAACCCCATGCAGACTAATTAGAGGCGCATCAGCAGGGCGGAGAGGACTGTCAACAGGAAGAGCTAAATTTAAAAGAAAGTTCGTTTCTAATAAAAAAAAAAAAAGCTAATTACCATTAGCATTAACATTAAAATATTTACGGACAGTAAAATGAGCATATTCTGAACAAACATTAGAATTAGCTTTAGCAGAAGTAGAATTATTACTAGAAGTAGAATTACCAGAAGACTGCAGAAGTCTATTATTGAACTATTGGAGATCTTCAATGTATTGTGTTAAAAATATTTGTATATTGTGGATTATTCTGGGCGACACGGTGGCACAGTTGGTTGAGTTGCTGCCTCTCAGCAAGAAGGCCGCCAGGTCGAATCCTGGCCGGGGGGCTATTCTGTGTGGAATTTGCATGTTCTCTCTGTGCACGCATGGGTTTTCTCTGGGTACTCCGGTTTCCTCCCACAGATCAAAAACATGCATGTTAGGCTGATTGGTAACTCTAAATTGTCCATAAGTGTGAGTGAGAGAGTGAATGGTTGTTTGTCTCGTTTGTCTCTGTGTGTCCCTGTGATGGACTGGAGACCTGTCCAGGGTGTACCCACTTCTTGCACAGTGATTGCTGGACATGGGCACCGGTGACCCTCGTGACCAGAAAAGGAAGAAGCGAGTAAAAGATAATGGATGGATGGATGATGGATGGATAGATGATTGATAGATGACAGATGGATGATTGATGGATGGATGGATGGATAGAAAGATGGATCGATGATGATGATGATGATGAATGGCAGACGGATGATGGATAGACGGACGGATGGACAAATGGATTATGGATGGATTGATGGACAGATGGATGGACTGATGGACGGATGATGGCTGGAGATGGATGATGAATGGATGATGGCTGGAGATGGATGATGAATGGATGATGGATGACAATGAATGGAGGGATGGATGATGGACGGATGATGGATAGATGACAGATGGATGGATTGATGGATGAATAATTGATAGATGACAGATGGATGGATAGATAATGGATGGACATAAGGATGGGTGGATGGATGGACAAGTGGATGGATGAATGATGGACAAATGGATGGACGGACAGATGGAGAAATGTATAGTATGCATGGATGGATGGAGAAAAGGATGGATGGATGGACAAATGGATGGATGGATGATGGATGGATGGACAAAGGGATGGACAGATGATGGATGGACAAATGGATGATTCTGAAACTTTCTAGTTACCATCTTTTGATTGTTTCGAGATACAAGTAGTTAAAACAGCATAAAGTATGCGGTAGTACTTGGATACTAAAAAACAACAAATAATAAACCGAAGGAAACAACAGAATAAATACTGAGTCAGCATTCTCACCATTAAAGGCTAAATGATTTCGGAAGTGACGGCTAAAATCAAACCAATAATTTTCCTGACATCAGCTTGGTGACTTTGTGTTGGCAGCGAGCCGCTGGGGTGGAACAAAAAGCTTCCCCGATAACGAACAACGGACCTTACCACCTCAGGTTGTGTCTTTACTGCGCAGTGAAGGAGGCGCAGGGCAGCTCGAGGGGAGAAGAGTAAACTAAACAACCCCATCTCACATCAAAGGCTGCAAAACCACAAATAGTTGAGGAGAGACCAGAACTGCTCTGGACGGCTCCTGTGTGTGGCAGCAGCAACGCTGCAATCACAAGAGGAACCGCAAAACAGAATGCACCAGCGCCATCGCTCTTTCCTTACCATTTCCATTTCCTGTGGTTGGCCTGATGCCGCATCCATTCCATTACCCCCCCAGTTGAAGCAGAGCCTGCCTGTTTTGGGGAGGGTTGGGGAGGGTTGGGGGGGGAAGTGCTGACTCACAGCACAAAGGCAAGCCTGTCTCGGTGCTGGGCACGTGCAGTGAACTGGCTGTGTTTCACAATAATAACACGACTGAACTCACTCATGCTGTGGACACTAACAAGACTCGATTCTCATTAAATCACAAAAAGGCTGCATTTAAATACAATTTTATTACTTTTTACTGTCAAATACAAACGGGTGACAAAGTACAGTGCAGAAGATTGAAATGGATCCTAATTCCTTTAGACTGCGTTTCCAAAAAGCCTTCGCTTCTTTGATTTTAGCTGATTTGTCACTCATTTATCCAAATTTCATATTTACTGCACTTTGGCTGGCCTTGTTGCTGCTTTAAAGTGCTGTATAAATAAAGAGGTATGGTACTGTGCATCGTTTGTTTAAAAGGAAGAACGTGGACAGGTAGAGAAATTAAAAACTACCTCCAGCAGATTACAGTATCTGAACATCACGTCTTTAGAAACAAAGTCCTGACGCAGAACCTGGGAGTCATCATCACTAACTAAATGTCAAGTTTTCAGGTAACTCTTTGTGGATGCTAAGAGCACTTTATATCTGTCAACCTGTTTTACCTTAGATTATTTTTATCAGTCAGCTAAAGAAAAGGAAACAAACTGTCTCAAAATCCCAATTTAAAGGTTTGCTTTTGTAATTGTATGCTTTGTGTTGACAACACTGCTTCATTCTTTCAGTTTAAGTTTTCTTTTTTTAATGTCTGAATGATTCATAAACCAGAGTGAACAAAAGAAAACAACACAAATAACAAGTCTTCTGCTTGATTAGGGTTTCCAGCATTTCATCTACAACATGTTAATCATGTACCACCTTGTGCATGTGCATTGTCTTTTTCCAAATTTGTGTATTTTGTATCTTTTTTTGATTATTTCATGTGTGTCTTCTTTTGGATGGATAGATAGATGGATGGACAGATCGAGTAAATAAGTATCCATCCATCCATCCGTCTATCTATCTATGGTATTTATTCTACGGTATCTATCTACAATACCTATCTACAGTATCCATCTACGGTATCTATTCATAGTATCTATTCACGGTATCCATCTACGATTTCTATCTACGGTATCTATCTACGGTATCTACGCATCTATCTACAATATCTGTCGATCTATCTACAATATCTGTCGATCTATCTACAATATCTATCTACGGTATCTACGATATCTATCTACGGTATTTATTTATTTAATTATTTCTATAGCACTTTACACAACCATGGTGATGGTGACCAAAGTGCTTAACAAAAAACAGTACTTAAAATGATCTACGATATCTATCTACGGTATCTACGATATCTATCTACGGTATCTACAATATCTATCTACGATATCTACAATATCTATCTACGGTATCTACGATATCTATCTACGGTATCTACAATATCTATCTAGGATATCTATCTAGGATATCTATCTACGATATCCATCTACGATATCTATCTACGATATCTATCTACGTATTTATCTACAATATCTGTCGATCTACCTACGATATCCATCTACGGTATCTATCTACAATATCTATATCTATCTACGGCATCCATCCATCCATCCATGGTATATATTCTATTGTATCTATTCTATTCTATTGTATCTATTCTATTCTATTCTATTGTATCTATTCTATTGTATCTATTCTATTGTATCTATTCTACCTATTCTATCTATTCTATGTATGTATGTATGTATGTATGTATGTATGTATGTATGTATGTATCTATCTATCTATCTATCTATCTATCTATCTATCTATCTATCTAT